ATACTTAATATGTGGAGAGTTTTAATCATGAATGGATGTTGAATTTCTGTCAGATATTTTTCTGCATCTATCGACATGACCGTGATTTTTATCTATCATTCTATTGATGTGATGTCACATTGTTGGATTTGGGGAATCCTCACAGGGATAAATCCTGCTTCCATCGCAGGCATAAATCCTGATATTGGCATATGATTTTTTTCATGTGCTGTTGAATTTGGTTTGCTAGTGTTTTATAGGATGTTTGCATTTCTGTTCATCAGAGATATTGTGGTGTCTGTGTCTGTGGTGTCCTTGTCTGCCTTTGGTATCAGGTTCATGGTGGCCTTCTAAAATGAGTTTGGAAAGTGGGCCCTCCTCTTCAACTTCTGAAAGAGTTTGAAATGGATTCGCATCCTTTTTAAAAAATTTTTTTAATGTTTACTTATTTTTGAGAGAGAGAGAGAGAGAGAGAGAGAGAGAGAGAGAGAGAAAGACAGAGTGTGAGTGGAGGAGGGGCAGAGAGAGGGAGACACAGAATCCGAAGACAGGCTCCAGGCCCTGAGCTGTCAGCATGGTGCCCGACGCAGGGCTGGAACTCATGAACCGTGAGATCATGACCTGAGCTGAGGTCAGATACCTAACCGACTGAGCCACCCAGGAGCCCTTGGATCGGTACCCTTTTTAAATGCTTGGTAGAACTTAACCAGCGAAACCACCTGGCGCTTGGCTTTTCTTTGTTAGGAGGTTTTTTGATGTAGTCTCAATCTACTTGTTATTGATCTGTCAGACTTTCTATTTCTTTATGATTCAGCCTGGTAGGTTGTATGTTTCTAGAAATGTATCCATTTCTTCTAGATTCTCCAATTTGTTGACATGTAATCGTTCATAGTGGTCTCTTATGATCCCTTGTATTTCTGTGTTACCAGTTATAATGTCTTTCCTTTCGCCTAGTCTTCTGTCTCTTTCTGAGTCGAACTAAGGGTTTGATTTTGTTTATCTTTTCGAAAAGATTTTGTTTGTCGTTTTCTGTTTGTTGTCTGTTTCTATGTATGGTCTTTTGTTTTCCTGGTCTCTGTTGCATTTGTTTCTGCTTTTTTTCTTCATTATTTCCTTCCTTCCACCAACTTTGGGCTTTGTCTGTTCTTCTTTTTCTAGTTCCTTAATACATAAAGGTAGGTTATTTATTTGAGATCTTTCTTTTTTCTTCACGCGAGGTGGTTATCACTGTGCACTTTCCCCTAAGAACTGCCTCTGCCACCATCCCCTAGTTTGGGTATGTTGTATTTGCATTGCCATTCATCTCAAGCATTTTGTATTTTACTTTGACTTTTTCTTTGACCCATTGGTGGTTCAGGAGTGTTATTTAGTTTCTACATATTTGTTAATTTTCCGGCTTTCCTCCCATTTGATTTCTATTTTGACACGGTCAGCAAAGACACTTAATATGATTTCAGTCCTCTTAAATTTGTGAAGACTTGCTTTGCGGCATAATGTGTGATCGATACTGGAGAATATTTCATGTGCATTAATATTTAAATATTTACATATTTAATATTTTAATAATTAAATATTAATATCAATCAATTAATATTAATTAAATATTAATGCATTAAACATTATATTAATATTATAATTACATATTAATATTAATTAAGTGTTTAATATTTTAATGTGTATTCTGTTGCTCTTGAATGTTTTGTATATGTCTGTTAAGTCCATTTTATTTATAGTGCTGTTCAAGTCTGCTGTTTCCTTCTTGATTTTATATCTGGAGGATCTATCTATTGTTGAAAGCGGGATATAGAAGTCCCCTATTATTACTATCTATGTCTCCCTTCAGTTCTCTTAATAGATGGTAGATATATTTAGGTCCTCCAGTGTCGGGTGCGTATATACTTACAATTATTGCATCCGCTTTGGTGACTTGGCCCTTGTATCATTATATAGTGATTTCCTTTGCCTCTCAAGACAGTTTCTAAGTTGAAGTCAGTTTTGTCTGATGTAAATACAGCTACTTCTGCTCTCTTTTGGTTGCCATTTGCATGGAATATACTTTTGTATCCTTCACTTTTGGCCTGTGTGCATCACGAAGGCTAAAGATGCATTCTTTTCCCCAAAAGAGAACAGTTTGTAAAAATGGGGCCCTTGGACTTGAGTTTCCTTGTTGATTGCCTCCGTGTTCTCCTTTCTCTTTGTTGGGATAAACTTAAATTCATTGACATTTCCGGAGGATGTTTCTAACTCTATCACTGGATGTTTCCCAAAGTCTTGTAAAAGCAGCTGTAGTTGACTATTTCACCCATTTGGCAAATATTTATTGAGCCCCTACTACGTGCAAGATCATTTGTTCAAGAGGAAGCTGATACTCACAGTTAGAAGATGTATCCAAATTAAATATCAGCTCTTATGCTGCCTGACTTGTCTTAGCAGATTGCTTTTCCATAATAACGATTGTAATCAGTCCCTATTTTCGAGGGTTTCCACGTGATATTCATTTATTCACTTATTTAACAATTTTTACTGCTTCAGCCCCTTATGTTCTTTAAAAAAATTTTTTTTGTTTATTTGTTATTGAGAGAGAGAGACAGAACATGAGCAGGGGAGGGGCAGAGAGAGAGGGAGACGCAGAATCCGAAGCAGCTCCAGGCTCTGAGCGGTCAGCACAGAGCCCGACGCAGGGATCGAACTCCCAAACCGCGAGATCATGACCCGAGCCCAAGTCGGTCACTTAACCGGCTGAGCCACTGCGGCACCCCTCACTTTATGTTCTTATTTAACAATTTGTATTCCTTAAGCATCTTGTGGTTCTCACCACCCTATCTAGCAGGGATTAAATATTGAATAAAACACGCTGGGTATCTACCCTAAAGTAGTTTGCATTCTGGATGGAGAGAAAAACATCAGGAAAGGTAACATATTATTTATTACAGGAGGGCTTCTGTCTGGCTTCTGTCATTATATGATGATTAAAAATAGGGTGAGTATAATATGTAAACAGAATATAGATTGCAAGGGAGAGGACTGTGGCCTCTGTATAAATGTCTTTGATGTGACATTTAAGCTGAGGCCGACCTCAAGAAAGAGACAATCTTGGAATACACAAAGACTAAGCATGGAAAAAATAAAACAAAAAATTAGACACGTTCCCTACCTTTGAGGAGGCTAGACTCAATAGACAAATCACCTGCAATGTGTCACCTGTCAAAAGGTGTTTAACAAATACTTTTTTCAGTGATAATAGGGATGATTTTAAAAAATGATTTTAACTGTTAGTATTCCCCTAAACGCTAAAAGCAAAAATTAAAAGAGGTGCTTATTTTTTCTAATAGTCTTCATAGTAATAGTGGTTTAAACAATGACTTTTTTAGAGAATCAAAAATCCTAAGTTATTCTGGAAGTTTGCATTTACCAACGAAAGGTTTGATCTGGCATCTAGTTGATGAAAGACACATTTCTAAGAAAGTCATCTTTATTAATTGGCCAAAATAACTACATTCTTTGTATTTTAAAATATGTCTAATTGAAATTCTAAGACGATACCTTTTGTTTTTCTTAAGGGATATTTGATTAAGAAAGATCACATCCAAACGTTTTAGAAAACATAAATAGAACTGTTTCACCTCTCTAAAAATATTCTTTTGCCATTTTTGACGTAGAGATGCCCAATGTGGGAAGAAAATATTATCATTATGAAAATTACACTCTTATTGCTAATGATTACTTACCGGTAAGGAAGGATCAAGGCAAAGAGGTTTGCCTGCTCTGTGCTCAACGACTGCTCAGACGGAAGAGGACAAAATGTGGACTCACTGATGCTTGGGGAGAAAGGGAGCCCCCGAGGGGTGAGCAGGCCCCCCGCGGAAGCATCATCAAAGGGCTTATCCTGGGTCTCCGTTCTTTCTGGTCTCCGCTCTTTCCAATCGTAAGGCCATTCCAAAGAGAATGCTGTGCAGTCACGAGAAGCAGAGCAAATAACTCCATTTTCCAAGTGGCCATCTGAAATATTTGTTTTATCTGTTACATAGTCAATGTTAGTAAAACGAAAAATGTTTCTTGCTTACAAATTTTCTTGATGACGGTGTTCGTGAGGTTTTCTTCTTCCTTCTTCTCCCCTTCCATCTTCTGTTTTCTTTTTCTTTTCTTCCTCCTTCTCTTTCTTTTCCAAAAGTTTACTCATGTTTCAACAATGCCCTGAATCAATTGATTCCGTTAAGTCACAATTCCTGGTTCGTATTTGGGCACGTTTTTTTTTTTTTATAAATTTTTACTGACACACATAATGATTTCTTATAAATCGCTTGATGCTTTCAGACAAGTTGACTTTTGCTAAATTGAATGGCTAGACTCGAAATATTTCATCACTTATTACAAATAGATACTAGCTTTTATTGCCAGAGCCATGGGTCTGGGAGAATTATTAATAAATGGAAATACAAGTAAAGACTTATGCTATAAATGATCAATTTAGCTCTTCTGAAAGTCATCCACATTAAACTGGGCTCCACAACTGCATAATTCCTATTGCGAGCTTGTCTCATTTATTCCATACTATTGTGAGGTCACCAATAAATGGCTTCATTGTAATAAGCACAAAGATAAGGTAGTTTTCATATATAGCATTCATTCCCAATTTGGTGATCTGCTTCAGGTAATATCATCTCACCGTAATTGTACCTTTGCACCCAAATGTATTGAAACTCACTTTGAAATTTTTTTAATGTTTATTTAGTTTTGAAGGAGAGAGAGAGGTGGGGGGGGGGGGACAGAGCACGAGCAGGGGAGGGGCAAGGAGAGAGGGAGACAGAATCGGAAGCAGGCTCCAGGCTCTGAGCTGTCAGCACAGAGCCTGTGGGGCTCGAACTCACAGTCTGTGAGATCGTGACCTGAGCGAAGTCGGACGCCCAACCGACTGAGCCACCCAGCCGCCCCTGACACTCACTTTTAGAATACTCTGCAGCCACGGTCATAAGAAAAGACGTTCTTCTGGTGCTTATGTTTGTTTTGTTCACCTTGTCCAGACGTGGATGTCATCGAGTGCTCCTTGCAGTTCCCGGATGACGAGTACTCCTGGTGGGACCTCTTCATGAAGATCTGTGTCTTCGTCTTCGCCTTCGTGATCCCTGTCCTCATTATCATCATCTGCTACACCCTGATGATCCTGCGCTTGAAGAGCGTCCGTCTCCTCTCTGGCTCCCGAGAGAAAGATCGTAACCTCCGTCGGATCACCAGGCTGGTCCTGGTGGTGGTGGCGGTCTTTATCATCTGTTGGACCCCCATTCACATCTTCATCCTTGTGGAGGCCCTGGGGAATGCCTCTCACAGCACCGCTGCCCTCTCTAGCTACTACTTCTGCATCGCCTTGGGTTATACCAACAGCAGCCTGAACCCCATTCTCTATGCGTTTCTGGATGAAAACTTCAAGCGGTGTTTTAGGGACTTCTGCTTTCCAGTTAACATGAGGACGGAGCGACAGAGCACCAGTAGAGTCCGCAACGCCGTTCAGGATCCTGCTTACATGAGGGATGTTGATGGGACAAATAAACCAGTATGACTAGTCGTGGAGATGTCTTCCTACAGTTCTTCGGGAAGAGAAGAGTTTAATGATCTAGGGTTAACTCAGATCAGCACCGAAGTCTGAGATGGAAAGGTAGAATCTTTAACAAACTTTTAGAAGTCTCGTGGTCTGAAGTCCTACGATGCTGGCTGGGTTAGCGACCCAGGTCAGCGGAAGCATCGAGGCTGTCGGGATGGAGTGGAGAAGACTTGAGTAAGCAAATCCAGCCCCTTTCTAGGGCAGGGAAGCACGGCTGATTCTGAGTTCCTTTGATGGACAAAGAAATAAGCCTTTTCTCTTCTGGTTACCTAAATTTAGTCTGGGCCCCACCTGCTGCGGCCTTCCCATGCAACGCGGTTCCAAAAGCTCTGTTGAAAAAAGACAGGACAAGTCAACACCTTGGTTTCAGAGCTCAGTGGGCCTCCAATCCAGATGCTTGATGTTGACGATGACCACCTGAATACAAACAAGGACCGTTCCTAGGGCACGTGCCCTGCTCGCTTGATGCTTTGTGGACGCACTTCACGTGGCTGTGTGGTGAAGATTCCGGCGGAGGCAGGGCTCAGACCCACACCTGAGGTGTCTGCTTACGTATAACAGGAAGTTACCTTGATACGTATGAAGTTACTTTCAACAGACCAAAGGTGGTTTCCAACCGAGTTTAGTTTCTTAGAAGCCACAGTCGGTTTTTCAGCATGCCATTCAGCTAAATAATTTCATGACAATGCGTGTCTTCAGATACCACCGAGAGTGTATATAGCTACACCTGTAAATAATAGTAGATACATGCGAGTACGAAATGGGCTTGCCTTCCAGCCAGCCACTCTCCCAAGGGCATACTAACACGAATCCCCTGAGTTAGTGAGAGCTGATGCTGAGACATTTGGGGACAACATAAGCTTCTTTCTGGGAGTTGGTCAGGTGCCGTCTTTTTCAGACCCGTGAGTGCCATTTAGTCCTTCAACGGTACTCACAACGCACGTATTAATCAATTATGAAATAGGGTATTCATTCCCCGGTTGTTCACTTGGCAGAATCTAATCTACATGCAGCGTCTCTTCGTGAATGTATAGCTGCTACCAAATTCTCTCTCTCCGGGGAGGGAGGGGGTTTTGCCCGTGTTAATCTTGGGCTAGGATCGTGTGGCCTTCAGCAGGAAGTAGAAACGTTCCGAAGCGTGGGCTGAACGAGGACGTGATGTCCCCCGTGGTGCTTGGACACAACCTTGCACTGTGTTCTGTGAAGAGTGTACCAGCTGAGGATAATGCCGTGGGCAGCACATTTAGGATAATTTGGCCAAAACTTCCAGATGACATAGTCTCCTTTCTTTCCCCCTGAAACTTACGATTTCAGAGGTAATGGCTTTTTCTGTAATTTGCCTGGGCAGAAGAAATGGATAAGTTAGAAATAGCACCCAATCTCTTCTATGTTCCTAGGGCAGCATCCCCTGGAATTTAGCGGGAAATCAAATGCATAGGCCTACGTGCTCATAGGCACCATCACGGCTGTCATTTCCGTTCATGGTGTACTTTCTGTCTTGTGTATATACTCTCTCCTTTTGGAAACAAATCTTGCCCTGAGGGTTTTATATTACGGCTTCAGAATTTTACTACAATGATATTTGTGTATATTCCAGATTTCCATGGCATCTAATAGATGACGTAAGGCAGAAAGGCAAGGTTCCTAATGAACACGAAGTACTCCTTTGAGGGTTTCTTAAATTTCATTGATTTTCTCCGGTGGCTTTGTATTCCTATAACAAAATGTAGGTAGGAAGGGCTTAAATATTGATTGGCATTCACCGTATGGTTAAAAATCGTGGCTATCATATGGGAGGGGTATTTATACAGAGAGTAGTTCCAGAAACAAACCCTACTGGTGTGAGAAATATAAAAATCTCTTTATGGAACACTAAGACCCGGGAGGGTTTCTTGAAGGATTCTTAAGTGGTACAAAAATATAATAGAGACACAATCATGGAATGAAATTACAGTAATGGGTTTTCTTTCAATTAGCACCCCGTGTGCCCTTATGGCATCTATGGCCATTATTGGATTCTGAATTTTAGCCAGATTATCCTGCTCGTTTTTATATCTAAGTTTGCAGCCCAAGAAGTAGCTCTAAGTGCCCATGAGGGCTGTACAAATTTCTCTATTATCGTGGGCACCAATTTCCTCAAACTGGAAGAGGAGAGAGTGGCTTGTCATTTTAGGGCACTACTTTAAAGGATGGAAAAGTGAGTCATATATATTAGGAAAAATACCACTTACACAAAAGTATTTACTTGTCAAAAGTGTGTATGTGTGCACACGTGTGCATGCATGTGTGAGGAATTACATGGGCATATGTGTCTTTGCGTGCATAAGCGTGTGCATGTGCTTGACGGTGTGTGCATGCATATGTGGAAGTGTGAGTATATCTCTGCATGCCTGCCTGTGTGTGTGCATGTATGTGAATGTGTATATTGTTTGTGTATGTGAGTGTGTGTGTGATCATGTGTGCATGCGTGTGCACATGCGTGTGCGTGTGATAATGTATGTTCGTGTCCTGCTGTCCCATCACAGCAAGGCGGGCGGGCACGCTGTCTGCTGTGTCTCTTTGAGACCAGAATTGTGTGTATCTAATCTCGAGGTCAACTCTACATAAACTCCATCTTCCCACCCTGGTGACTTCTGGAAGTTCAAATCTAGTGAGGGGTCATAAAAAAAATAGAGAGGAATGAAACATCCATGCAGGATGCAGCAAGGAGGGTGAAAATGTAGAATTCTAACTGGAAGGAGACTGGAACCACCATTAATGTCTCAGAAATACTCCAGAATCTAAGGGCTCCCCTTTGCAAAGAACATAAGTCAAAACTCAAAGCATAATACTAAAAAAGAAGCAGTTTGGAAAGCTAGTTTTGAAAAACATGAGGGAATATTCACGTAAATCCTAAGAAAGTTGTTCCATTCTGTGATGAATTACTGAGAAATACAAGTTCTTAAGTCTGCAGACCCATTATGAGAAAATTTATAGATGTTTCATCTAGTATTGGGACATAATAAGATAAATGGGCTGGAACAAAAGGAATACATTGGAGGGCGCCTGGGTGGCTCAGTCGGTGAAGCGTCTGATTCTTGATTTTGGCTCAGGTCATGATCTCACGGTTTGTGGGTTTGAGCCCTGTGTTGGGCTCCACTCTGACAGCAAGGAGCCTGCTTAGGATTCTCTCTCTCTCCTTCTGCCCTTCCCCTGCTTGTGCTTTCTCTGTCTCTCTCAAAATAAATACACTTTTAAAAAAAGGAATACACTGGCTTTAAATGAGATGTTTTTAAGGAAAAACTATGACAAGGCTGTATGTCCATCCAATGAGATTTATTCTCTCAACAAGAGCTGTTTGGCAGATTCAGCATAAATTGGAAAATCCCACCCCTGAAGGACATAAACCTGTTTGTCTTAAGGCCGTTTTCTTCTCTGAAACAAAAGTATACTTATATATTCCTCAGTGTATATTATTTATATCTTGCAAATTTGGAAGGTGATAAGTATGCATTGTATATAAGATTGTGTGCCTTGTGGAAAAATAAAAATTGCACCTGCTCAAAACACAGTGGTCAATTACTGTGATATATCATTTATTCTTTAATGGCTTTGATGATGCTGTACTTCAGAACAATGTTAACTGTTTCTCAAAACTAAAAACAATCGCCTTGATTTTCCATCCATGACAATGTCGTGGATATTTAATGGAAAGGAACAGAATGTAAGAATCTAAACCGTGATCTTGAACTCCAAAACCTGCCAATCCCTCAGAATTCATGGCTTTCCACAGTAATGCTGTCAAGATTCCAGAATCAGTGTCACACATGGCCTTCCTCATGGAAAACCACTTTTTCATTATGGAAAATGTTCAGAATGAAACTGTCCCATCAATAAAAAAAAAAAAAAAAAGAAATCAAACTCTCCTTCCTTGCTTCCAAAACAGTATGGCTACACTACTATCGTGAATTACCTGTTTCTAAACCTCATGGCATTTGCACGCATAAACAAAGGTTTGTGTGTGTGTGTGTGTGTGTGTGTGTGTGTAAGTGGAAACACACTTAGGGAAAGGGAGGTAAAAAAAAAAAAGGATGCCTCTAGCTAATTGAGGAGAACACACTAGCAAGTCCTACTTTCATTTAAAATAGCCAATTTCTTTCTAGTATTTATCTTTGATTTGATAACTCAATTTCCTTGGGGATTGGAGCTCAATATGCAGTAAGTTTCAGGCATTACGATACCTTCTCTCTGTAATTAATTTGCTGCATGATACATTCCTATGGATAGTCACTAGGTTTGTGGGAACTAGTGATAACACGAAACAAACAAATATTTAAAAATTTTGCGAAAGCTGTTGCTTGAGAGGATGTTTGTATTTATGTCAGGAACTATGCCAGATTCTGCATAGGTATACAAAACAGATACACCTTTGATAACTTCCAGTCTAAGGAAAACACGTCATTAAGGAAATAATTGCAATGTATTGCAACGAGGGCACAAATCAATGAATGCAACCTTTTCTAAAAGGTTTATCCATTTATGTAGACATACTTTTAAAGGTATTTTCTCTATGTCTCTATGTTATACTTGAAATTACTAGAATAGTTAGAATAGCAGTATTCTAGTATTTGAAGATCATTAAAATGGCAGCTAGTAAATACTGTAAGTGACTTTGTGAGTTTCAAATAGTCAGGGAAGGCTATATTTTGAAAGCCACATAATTTGGGAACAATATAGTCTTGGAGTTATACCAGAGGATGCGACACTGAGAATTATGAACTGTGCTAGAAAGGTGTATGTAAAACAGACCAAACTACAGGGTCTAGTGTGGTTACTTTCAACAATGTCTATTGGACATTGGAACGAGGGAGGAGTTAGAACAGCTGGTTTGCAATCAATTCATTCGCTTCGTGCTCTTTACAGGTGGGCCAGGAGCAAAGACAGGTGACTACGTAATAGCCTCCACTGGACCTCTGATAAATAATTTTTGGTTGGTGGAAGAGACCTTAGCAGGACAGACTACTAGCCTACTAGGCTAGATTACGTGTAATAAACCTGTAATCTAT